TTATACAGTTGCCTTAAACTTAACACCCCTCTTGCCAAGTAGTACTACCCGTAGAGGTTTTTTAAACTTTGCAATGCATCGTAATGGTTATTTTAAGAATGGCAAACTGATGCAGCTGTTAATACGTAAACGTAGAAACTACTAGACAGGTACAATAATGATTAATTGCTGCATGAAAAGAAATCTTGTGATTTACATAGATGTGCCGAAAAAAATAATTTTTTAACAAATATCATTGTTTAAAACTTTGAGTTAAAAAAGTTTCCAAAAAGGCGCCACTTTGCTGAAAATGGCCAGAGGGGGAGCGGCCGCTCCCCCTGCTCCCCCCCTGCGTACGCTACTGGGTAAGCCCCCCCCCCCACCCCCCCACACACACACACACAACAAGAGACGGTAGAAGGGTCACTGTGAGGTCACAGTAGCCCAGTCTAAATCTAATACGTCAAAGAATGAACCGTACCGTAACTTTTATTCCCCCTTGAAGAGTGAATTGAAAATACAGGTAGATTTAGTTAAATTATAGGGTGTGGGGAAATTGCGAGACGCGAAAAGCGAAATGGCGAGGCGGGAAAATGCGAGAAGGTAATGCGAGACATACCTGCGGAATTAAGGGTAAATAGCGAGACACTTTTTGCGAAAAAAGTTTTTTTCTCTTTTTTTTCCATCTTTATTTATTTAAATTATTTTTTTTTTAAATAAACAAGCATTTAGCCATACCCTTTAACACGAGTGTTGTATGTTGTTATTTTTTATCTAGATACTAAGAAGATAGATAGATCTATATCTAGATCTATCTATTTAAAAATCCTAACATCGTTGCTGTGCTACTGTCATCGCCCGCTCTTGTTAGCGAGAGGGAAATCCCGTCTCAGTCGGCATTAATTTAAAAATCTAGCCCGCTCATGTTTATAGTGTGACTTCACATCTAAACCCCCCCCCTCCTCCCCCTCATCACACATCGTCATAAAATTACAGACCCCCCCCCCCTACGAGTGTGACGTCATTTATGGAAGACCCCAAATAACACCACCACCAAAACCAAAAAATTCAGATAAGCTCAACTTGGTTTTAAAAATATTTGAAGTAGGCCCATAGGTTACGATATAGCACGAGCAACTGATAATATCGGTGACGTCACTTTATTTTTTCCCCAAACAGTAAGTAAGGGAAAAAACTGGAGGCATTGAGAGTTCATAAAAGCTTAGGAATAAGCAACACGTAAGGGAGGGTTAATCTAGTCTTCACCTTCACATAGGGCAGTAATCGCATACTTAATTTGATGTTATTTTTTCTGACTTATTTATGGAAATAATAAATTATATATATATATATATATACTAGCTGCATCCCGTGCTCCGCCACGGTAAATATTTTTTAAATGTACCAACTTGGGAACAGAACAAAACTAAACACAACATAAACGAACGCAAAAAAAAAAAAAAAAAAAAAAAAAACGAAAAAAACAAACACAACACTCATAACATAAACACAATTTAAATGCAATCATAAAGGCATATTGCTCAAATGTACCAACTTGGGAACAGAACAAAACCGACAGAATAATAATTAGAAAACAGTATAAATAATAGGCAGTATTTAAAATATCCGTGTTTTACCTACAATATTTCACTTTATCCATTCACGCATTTTTTTCCAGTACTTTAAATTTTAAAAATTTACAATAGAGTTTCATAACTAAAACCATTGCGCACCTAATGAACGTGATGACGCGTCTATAATAGTGCTTAATAGTTGATTAAAAATTATAAGTAGTAAACATTACATTCAGTGGATAAAATAAATAAAAGATAGCCTTTTATCAATCAATTCTAATTATAATATTCCAACAATAATGTACTCTTACACGTCTGCATAATTTGCATTCACATTTTGCTAATTATATTATTCCAACAATTATTCCGTCTTGCAGATTCTGCATTCACATTTTTAGATTGAGTTCAATTTATTTTTAAAATAACTCCCTTGGCATTATTACTAAACAGTTTAATTTGATTTTTCTACCGTACAGTTATTATGTTATTAAAATGTATCCACTTTTTCTAGGAATATTAACGAAAACTATATTTGACATTGATCCTTTTAATATGTTTTAGCAATGTGCGTGTATTTAATATTCTCTTTACGTTATGCAAAATTTTACAAACAGTGGAAATTATAAAATAGCTCTATGCCACTATATAAACAAACCCTACTCTAATACTTGTAATAAGACACTGCGGTGCACTGAAAAGCACAGCATGGTGCGAATGTTTACTTTTATAGTCCCAAAATCTATAGCGATGACGGAAGGAAGGAAGGAAGGAAGGAAGGACTGACACACTACCAGCAGCGTTATATATATATACTAGCTGTATCCCGTGCTCCGCCACGGTAAATCATTTTTAAATATACCAACTTTGGAACAGAACAAAACTAAACACAACACAAACGAACAAACGCAAAAAAAAAACAACAACGAAAAAACGAACACAACACTCATAACATAAACACAATTTAAATGCAATCATAAAGGCATATTGCTCACAGTCTAGCCCGTAGCGCCAAATCGCGCCCTTTCCGAGTCCCGGCGGACGCGTCTGACACAGTGAATGACTACAAAACAGAGGCGTTGCGACCCTTTCCGGCGCCCGGGGACAAACTTTCGATTTGACCCTCCCTCAAACTTACGATTTGCACCCCCTCCCCTCAAAATTTCAATTTCCACCCATCCCCTCAGACTTTCGATTTGCACCACTTTTGATTTGAAATTCCCCCCGCTCAAACTTTTGATTTGCACCCCCTCAAACTTTCGATTTGCACCCTACCCCCCTCCCCCTCCCTAAAACTTTCGATTTCCACCCCCCCCCCCCCCTAGCTACGCCTCTCTTATAAAACCCCAGCTTGTCCGCAAACCGAAAGATAGAATAATAATAAATAATATACAATAAAAAATAGGCAATATCTATAATATCCGTGTTTACCTACCATATATCACTTTATCAATTCACGCATTTTTTTCCCAGTATTTTAATTTTAAAAATTTACAATTGAGTTTCATAACTAAAACCATTGCGCACCCAATGTCTATAATGGTGCGGAATAGTTGATTAAAAATTATAATTAGTAAACAGTACATTCAGTGAATAAAAAGAAATAAAAGATAGCCTTTTATCAATCAATGTGCTAATAATAATATTCCAACAATAATGTACTCTTACACGTCAGCATAATTTGCATTCACATTTTGCTAATTATATTATTCCAACAATTATTCCGTCTTGCAGATTTTGCATTCACATTTTTAGCGTGAGTTCAATTTATCTTTGAATTACCTCCATTGGCAAAATTACTAAGCAGTTTAATTAGATTTTTCTACCCTACTGTTATTATGTTAATAAAATGTATCCACTTTTTCTGGGAATATTAAAGAAAACTATATTTGACATTGATCCTTTTAATATGTTTTAGCAATGTGCGTGTATTTAATATTCTCTTTACGTTATGCAAAATTGTACAAACAGTGGAAATTATAAAATAGCTCTATGCCGCTATATAAACAAACCCTACTCTAATACTTGTAATAAGACACTGCGGTGCACTGAAAAGCACAGCATGGTGCGAATGTTTACTTTTATGGTTCCAAAAGCTATAGCGATGACGGAAGGAAGGAAGGAAGGAAGGACTGACACACTACCAGCAGCGTTATATTATAGATATATATATATATATATATATATATATATATATATATATATATATATATATATATATATATATATATATATATATATATATATCCTTGTGCTTAGATTTATATGGTAAAAAAAAAGCTAGAAAAAAATCGTAGGCGGCGGCTATAATACACAATTTCTATGCAACAATAGAAAATATGTTTGCGGCGGCAGCGGATCCGGGCAAGGCGATCTTCAAAGACGGTAAATCAGGCGGCCTCGGCGTTCCACACAAAAGACAGAAGTTGATCTATCGTCGGCGGTATTTCCGTCGGTTTCGAACAAGGTGGTATTCTAAGTCGACACAAAAGATGGGGGGAGTTGACAAATCATCAGTATGCCTAGCGACGGAAAAATCGGAAGTTTTAACAATGTAAACGAAACGTCTTTGAAGTCTGGATCAAATACCACTGAAAATCGGGTGCGGTTAATTTTTCGCAGAAATCTTCGCATTTCAACACCACCCAGCGTAAGTATCGGCTTGTGGTAAAATGCGAGACAAAAAAGTCACGTGACCGACCGTTTTCGCGCCCTTCTCGCATTTTCCCGCCTCGCCATTTCGCTTTTCGCGTCTCGCAATTTCCCCTAAATTATATGTGTAGACTACTAAATACTAAATACAGCTTCCCTCATAATTTTTTATAAGACTACCTGCCTGCAACCTCACACAAACTTAAGAAACAATAAACGGGTAAAAATAAAGGTCAAGATGTGACGTATGACCGATCATTCTTTCATTAAATAAAAATTTTAAATACTTGTAACACCTAACTATACACGGTCAGCCACGCAACAACTACAAAAAGACAGGTCTAACACCCCCCCCCCCTCCCTCCACCAATGGCGTAGTAACTGAGAAATCGGGTTTCTTCTGCGACCCAGCGAAAAACGTCATTCAGGTGTAGACCCGTCCAAACTTTTTAAAGTCGGAAATTCACTTTTCTAAATTCAAGACTTTTTCCAGACTGCGTCCGAACACTGTTAAACAATGTTTAGTAACAGAAATATTTATCTGAAACACTTAAAAATAACTAGTTATACAAACGATTAGTAAATCAGTATTTAACACGCAATTAAAATAAATCTATCCAAATTTTAAACGTTCTGTGTTAAAAAATAAAAGATGACGCCAAATAAAGTATGGTTTACAGTACTTCCAGTGAAATCCGGAACTTCTTGTTTTTTTACTGCTATACCATTCCGGAATAATAACTGACACTAAACCAAGGTTTTACCCTAATTTCTAGATTCTATAAATTATAGGTAGATCTAGGCCATAGGGTAATCTCACGATATATCGTCGGAAATTATCCTATAGAATCTAATTTGGCTTTGGGATAAAATACTCAAAAATAAATGGTCTTACTTAACACTTAAAACAACCTGAACTAAACGCTAGGCTAGTCTTATAATTTAATTAATAATTTAGTAAGGCAATATTCAATATATATGACATGTGAGGCCTACTACTGGATCTAAATATATATTAATAATGTATGCTTGATGTATGTAAACTGTAAACTATGTAGCCTAGTTTAAAAAATATCTGTTTAATGGTATAAATTTATTATTATTATGTTAAATCTATGTTTATTGCTCTGAGCATGATAGCCTACGCCCTACAATCTTTTTAGTTTTTAGTCATGTTGATGTCAGTTTTTTTAAATTTTGTCCCTAAATCAATACTGTACTGTGGTTGTTACAAGGGGCTAGTGTTTGCATTTAGTAGACTTGTTGTTTTTGTGCCCTTCTCTATATATAGGCTATATCTATATATCAGTGGCATAGCGAGGGTGACACCATTTAGGGGGTGACACCAAGGCAAAAAATAGCAAAATATATACTATAGAGAAAAATGATAATTCCACTTAACTAAGTGATTAATTCAAGTGTTAAATAGTCTTTTAAGAGGTGGAAATCAAAAGTTTGAGGGGGTGGGGGGGTTCAAATCGTAAATATTGAAAGTTTGTCCCCGGTAAGAGTCGCTACGCCTCTGGGGGTGACACCATTAAGTGCCGCACCGAGTGACACCCGACCTCGCTATGCCACTGCTATATATACATAGATCTATATAGCCTACAGTGCTTTTTTTTTTTGTAAAAAAAGTAGGTGCAGGTACTGAGTGACGGATTGCCAAACTTTTAACTATCAGTTTGCACCTCAATGCAAGCTAAATCACTACTGCAAAGATACTAAATTAATAATTAACAAAGTAATAATATAATAAATTAATAATAAACGTTAAAATAGAAGGAAAGCAATAATTTTTTCATGAAATCAAAAAAGGTGCCAGTACGCCATACTAGTGCATACTATCACAAAAAAAGCACTGTATGTATATATATATATATATATATATATATATATATATATATATATATATATATATATATATATATATATACAGACTCCCTGGTTTTTAAGTCTCTGTAATATAGCTGTAAAATAAAAGTCTTTAACCTGTCCCTTGAAAATTCAGAGAAACTATAAATAGCTACTACTGTCTCTTCCTTGACTGTGTATGATGCGTTACCAGCTAAAAAGTTGAAAAGTCCTTTTTATTTTCCTACATTTTAAATGGAGGTCGATCACGCCCTGATATTTAAATTCCTTTGCAGTTTCAGAAACCTCACTTAAGCCCTGTATTATATTTTATATGGTATTATTTTTAATCTATCTATAGTATAAAAATAGCATTAAAATAATCTCAGTAAGTTAGTCTAGAAATTATTATAATTATCATATAGGCCTATTCGATATGAAATTGAATACAAAAACCTTGTTTTAATAATTGCATGTTTGTATTTAGTTAAGGCATTGAGTATAGGCCTAATTACTTTTACTTTATATATATATATATATATATATATATATATATATATATATATATATATATATATATATATATATATATATATATATATATATATATATATATATATATATATATATATATTTATATATATATTTATATATATATATATATATAAACAAGAGTAGTTCTGTATATTAAGTGTACCAACCAGTGGCGGAACTAGAAAAAAAAGGGCCACCCAGCAAAAAAATTTCCTGCCCACCATATATATATATGTATATATATATAAATAAATAAATATATATATATATATATATATATATATATATATATATATATATATATATATGTGTGTATATATATGTATATAAATATATATATATATGTGTATATATATATATATGTGTATATATATATATATATATATATATATATATATATATATATATATATATATATATATATATATATATATATATATATATGTATATATATATATATATGTATATATATATATATGTATATATATATATATATGTATATATATATATATATATGTATATATATATATATATGTATATATATATATATGTATATATATATATATATGTATATATGTATGTATATGTATGTATGTATATGTATGTATATGTATGTATGTATATGTATGTATGTATGTATATATGTATGTATATATGTATATATATATGTATATATATATGTATATATATATATATATATATATATATATATATATATATATATATATATATATATATATATATATATATATATATATATATAACTATGATTAATCTAGTGCAGAAGACAATAAGGGCAGGTTATTTTACTAATAATATAGTACCCTGCTCTGTTAAGCAAGTAGGTCTATTGACTAGATCATATAACAAACACAATTAGATGATTGAACTACGATAGAAAACTGAATGCACATTTCATTTTTTCTTTAGAATTTTGAAAGAATGAGTACAACACAACCACCTGCTACCAGTTGTGTAAGTTAAAAATTTTCCTTTATTATTTTTAAGTTTAAAGAAAACCTAGGCGAACAAAAGATGTCATAAAGGATTTAACAGCCTAATCTTTCTCTAACTTGTTTATAGAAAATGTATTTTGGATTGTTTCAAACCTCACTAGAGCCTTGTCATTCATATTTTAGAATTCCTTACTAACAAGACTAAACAAGCGTTGCATGTGTGTATATATATATATATATATATATATATATATATATATATATATATATATATATATATATATATATATATATATATATATATATATATTATGATGACTTTATATTTAATATTTACTTTATCAATTTTAGCTAGTTTTTTTCAAATATGTTTGATTTTCCACTTTTTTGATTCAGTCAGAATTATGAGGCATATTTAATGTGGTCTTTGAGAATATCCCAAACAGATTAAAATGTTACAACAATGCTAGAAGATTCAATTTCTAAAAACAAACTACATCGACTATCACAATGAGCACTGATGATTTTGAAGATGCTCTTTATTAGTAATCAAATCAAGTACATTCACATCTACAATTCAAAAATTATGTCTAGTGCTACATCTACAGTATTCTCCAAAAAAATTTTAGATTCATTATTTTCTTTAAACAATTTTTTATGTTCATATCTGAAGAAAAAAAATCTAACATTTCCACTGAAAACTTGGTTTTTTTGTTGTTGTTGTTATATATATATATATATATATATATATATATATATATATATATATATATATATATATATATATATATATATATATATATATATATATATATATATATATATATATATATATATATATATATATATATGATGACAGGTTTCTAAAAACTTCCTTCCAAATGAGAAAAATACTGAAAGTGAACCTTGTATTCGAACTGAACTGCATGTGGAAGCCAAACAACATGGAACAGTCATCATTCATACTGTATATAAAAATTTTATTCCTTTCTTACGAAGATTAACAATAAATTTGCTACTTTCAATGTGTGCCTAGTTTAATAAGAATAACGAGGAGCACTAATATGTGCCTGAAAGTTTAAACTTTTTTATTTAAAAACATTAATGGAATACGTTTGTCAAATCAAATGTTATGTTTACTTGTTCATTATTCATACACACATATTCATGAAGGTGAATGCTGAGAAAATTGCCTTTAAACTGTTATCATTTGACTTAAAATTGAAAGATCACCATAAAAAAATAGAAGCTCTGCTATTTTGCCATCCATTCATATACTGTAATAAAATTGATGGCCTTTTTTCTTTAACCCTAGTAGTTTAAGTATCAGCAACACAATATATGGGTATGTGTAATCACCTAATAAACAGCACACTTTTAAATAAACTTTGTGCTTTCTCAGGCAGACTTGTCACCTGTAATAGAGATAAAGGCATTGAAAGAAGATGTTGCAAATATAGTAAGTAATTTTATATTTGATTATATTTGATAAGATGCAAGATGGTTCATTTTTCCCATTGGAAAATATTCTGTTTGCTGCACTGCACCACTGAAACCACTGTACACCCATCGCACCCCTGTAATTCTTCTACACCCCAAATAAATCCCTTTTATAGATTCCCCCCCCCCCCCCCCACTTTTCTGTTAAGGACATCAATTTATTTTCTCTAGCAGGAAAGATGGGGTGGGGGGGGGGGGGGGGGGGTTGTAGTGGTCCGTAAGGACTTCTAGTTTTATGATTGCTTGATTAACTTTCACACATTAAATATAACATTTGCATACTACTATGAAAAATAACCAAAGCATATACATTTGTAACCAATAAAACATCATTTAATTCTGCCCAAATTTCTTTAAATAATTCAGTTAAAAGCTTGGTTAAGCATTAATTTTCTTTTAAATTAAATTTCTTACCCCCCCCCCCCTCCATTTACCAAAAAAAAAAATGTTTTCTTGCTATCGTGAATGGCTGTAAGTTTAAAAAAAATTATTCTAACAAGAAACTGTATTGCTAGTTTTCCATGTCTTAAATTTAAAATTAGTAAAGCGGGAGATATCTCCCTTAAACTTTCTTAATATCCTTGTATTACAGTAAGGGATATGGCACCTTCAGTTAAATCTGGCTACATATATGTTTTTTAATTCATTTATTTTTAAGTTATTTAATATTTAATTTTTTAGCGCAATTTCCATTCTGGAGAATTGCGTTTATTAACCCGTCATTTCTGGATGTATGAATGAATGGATGTGTGTCCGCAGCTTTAAGTCGTATCTCCTCCTCAACGAAGCAATATCGAGGATTAGTTCCAAAGCAATTATGTTAAGCAAGTTACGAGGATGAACATAGGCCAAAAAAATTCCGGGTTTCTTTCATGGATTTCCCGGAAAAGCCAAAAAACCTCGAAAAAATGCAGTTTTTGGCCCATATCTCGGCAACCAGACCACTTAGCTGCTTGAAACATGTACCAATCGATTCCTGCCATAATTTAGAACAATATTGCCAAAGAAAGTTTTCAAAAATATCCTTTCGTTCGGTCACAAAAACATTTTTGAATTAATTAAAATTTGGACCGAATTAGTAGGCATTTTTATCCAACCACACCACACGCGTCATCACGTTCAATAGCTGCGCCATCACGTTCAATGGCTGCGTCATCACGTTCAGTAGCTAGGCGTGCAATGGTTTTTAGTCATGTAACTCTATTGTAAATAAAACATGTATTTTAACCAATGGTTTTACTAACCCTGCTCTTGATTTACGCTACGACAGAGCTATTTTTAGATAACATAAGGAAATTGCGCTAAAATTGTCACTAGACGTTTAATTACCTTGTTTTAAATAGAAAAGAGTCTAGTTAAGTTAGTAGAAAAAATAACTGCACACCAAATGATTGTAAACATTTAATGCATAATTATAAGTAGGCCCTACTTTATAACACTAATACAAGTGAAACCATTTGACTCTTTTAGTTTGTTCAATTATAACGTTTGCTATTACTTATTTACATTTTTTTTCCAGATAAATATCAAAAGTTCTGAGCAGCAATGGGCCTACATGTGTAATATACTAGATGACAATTTGACTTTGGCGCATTATTTTCCATCACTACCAAAGAATTCAGAGCTTATTAAGTTGTCAGTAAAAGCAATAAACCCACAAAAATGATCTGAAGAAATGTGTTTTATATTGATTGCTATTTGCAACAATGATGAGCGCTGCTAAGTTATAAGTTATTTGTGAGCTTAAGATGCATCAAGCTTAAGACAAGTAGTCAGAGAAATGTCGTAGAACATGACTTATCAAGGAAAATCATGAGGGATTTGGAATTTCGATCTAGCTCTGCTCCAGATATTTTTTGCTACCTCCAGCTCTGCACATGCTAGTATTAATTTTTTTAAATGTGAGCTATGTACAAACATCAGCAGCCTTACTTTAATCATTTAAGTTTTATGTGATCTGTTTCGTTGCTGGTGTTAGTGCATTTTGTTGTCTAACATTGAGTAAAACAGTGTAATTTTTTTAAAATTTAGCTGGTCACATTTAGTCTTACTGCTGTCTGTGTTTAGTGTTAGACGTTCATACAGGAACAACAGATAGTGTTCGTATCTTGTAATCGTGTAAATTTGTTTTATTAAACTTGTAAAGCAAGTCTGTCAAGTAAGCAGGACTTTGGCATTGGTCAAGTTCCTTAGTTCTTAACAGAAGTTGTATTTTAATACAGTGCTGAGTTAAAGAATTAGGGCCTAATTAATAATTTTTATAAAGCTCACATGCACCTACTGATAGCCTAAACACCAGTTTTCTTGAGCTGCTTTTACTTTTAGACATTTACCAGGGACACACACACACACTCTGAAAAGATACCTAGAAGAAACTGCATGGTATAAATTTCTTGAACTTTTACCATGCCCATCGAATGCACCCATGGTTTCCAGCCAGTGCTCCCCATGGCAGGTACCGTACACTTTGGGAAACTCAGCTTTAGCGTTTCCGTTATTCAGAACAACTTTTATGGATATTTTCTTTCTTTTTACTACTTTTACAAGCTTTCATTTAACTCACTTCCTCGTCTGTCTGTCTAGATCGAAACGCCTGAGCGAAATTTCGGACACGTCTGACAGACTTGTTTCAACATTGGCACGTGGGTCAAGACAATGCAACATGACATTAAATTTGACTTCATAGGTTGCCTGATTTATTTTTTTATGAATTAATAAAACTTTCGTCCAAATTAGTAGGCTGCTCATCAAACTATTCCGCACTATTAGACACGCGTCATCACGTTCAATAGGTGTGCAATGGTTTTTAGACATGCAACTCTATTGTAAATAAAACATGTAAAGTACTTAAAATTTTTTTCATAAAAAACGTTTTAATAACAAACTTTCATGTAATAATGCACTAAAAAGTAGAAAATAAATTATACTCTACTCTATTTAAATAACTATAAAGAAAAGCGTAGGTCTCTTCCTAAATATTAGTAAAGGTTTCCAATATATACTAAAGTAAAGTGACCCAAACTTTTCTTTATAGTTATTAAAGTTATTTAAATAGTAGTGTATAATTTATTTTCTACTTTTATGTGCATTATTACATAAAATCTTATTATTAAAACGTTTTTTATGAAAACAAGTTAATTAAAAAAGTCTAGTGACATTTATGCGCAATTTCCTTATGTTATCTAAAAATAGCTCTGACGTATAATGATGGGGTGCGTTCAAGCTAGAAGAAAGATCGGTTTGTAGGTGTTTATGTAATTTTAAAATTTGTGACCGAACGAGAGGATATTTTTGAAAACTTTCTTCGGCAATATTGTTCTAAATTATGGCAGGAATCGATTGGTACATGTTTCAAGTCGCTAAGTGGTCTGGTTGCCGAGATATGGGCCAAAAACTGAATTTTTTCGAGGTTTTTTGGCTTTTCCGGGAAATACATGAAAGAAACCCGGAATTTTTATGGCCTATGCTCATTCTCCTAACTTACTTAACATAATTGCTTTTAGAACTAGTCATCGATATTGCTTCGTTAAGGAGGAGATACGACTTAAAGCTCGGACACACATTCATCCATCCATCCATTCCCAGAAATGACGAGTTAATAAACGCAATTCTCCAGAATGGAAATTGCGCTAAAAAATTGTATCTATAATGTCTTAAAGCAATTCTATTATCTAATGTTTTTAGTGAAGATATTTGTCAGAGTTTCTTCCAGGCATCTCTTCGGGGGGGGGGGGGGGGCTTTGCCCCCCCCCCCCCCCGAACGAAATGAAATTTATATAATTTATATAGAAAATATATACTTTTAACAGTGTCCGCCCCCCCCCAAAGAAAGTCTACCGCCCCCCCCCCCCCCTCGAAAATTTCAAGTGCCCCCCCGGAGAAAAATGTCTGGAAGAAACACTGATATTTGTTAAAAGGGTGCTAGTATTGTGATTTGTTTTTTTTTTTTTAAATGTCTTTCTTTCAAGAGTCTTTGCTGTCAAACTATTTCACATAATAAAAAATCATTTTTACGTTTAGAGTTGTTAAACTGGTGTCTTGCTAAGTCAATGTGCCTTGTGGCAATGGGGTCATCAATACATGACGTCACGCTTTTTTGGACGATTTTACCTCCCCTCCGTCACACGTCACAAAAAGCCAGACCCCCCCCCCCCCCTGAAATGACGTCACACCTCAGCATACAACCCCCCTCAAAATTGTTGTTGAATTTTTCTTAAAACATCGATATTTTCCAAAATATTATCTGAACTCTGTCAACATAGAGTATTTTGATCAATTTCTATTACAATTTATTTAAAACAGTTTTCTAAAACGCGAAATAACGGCTAAAATTCGTTTTCTGACATTGCTTTTTTATAATGCAAAAGTGTGATGTCCCACCATCTGAACCCCCCACCTACCCCTCATCACACACCGTCACAAAATTACGGACCCCCCCTCCTCCTACGACTGTGACGTCATTTATGGACGACCCCTATGTAAGTGGTGTTTAAATGCTGTAAGCTTGTGGATGTAATATGCACGGTTTTATTGTCCGTAGTGCTGTAACAATAAAGCGGGAGTGATCTCCCCTAAACTTTTTCGAATTTTCTTTTATAACACTTCGGGAGATGGCAACTCGGGATATAGGCATAATTTTTAATTACTTAAACTGTTTACTTTCTCGAATACAGAGTATAGAGGAAGTATTGTAATCGTGCACAAAAATCACATGAAATGTTGACAGTTTTCATCGTTTTATACCTCGTTAGTACTTCCTCATATACGGAGTATAGGGGACTTATTATAATCGGGCAAAAATAATAAATGCAGATTTATCAAATTTTGGGTGTTCTATGCGTAATACTAATTGAGTCGGAAAAACCGGGCTAAGCAATTCTGTCCGTATGTGAACACGATAACGTGAGTACCGTTACAGTTAGGTTGATGAAATTTCATATACAAGTATTATATCAAATTTGTAGTTCTCTATCAACTTTTCAGCGATTTCCGATCACCGGAAGTGGGATTTATTCTACTTTTAATTTTTCAAAAGCCTATAACCTGAGTACTGTTTCAGATAGATAAACGAAATGTCATAAATAAGTAAAAGCTCTAATTTTCTATCTTCTATCAAATTTTGAGTAATTTCCGTTGACCGGAAGTTGTAATTTTCTCGACTCGACGCTGCCCTAACCCGAAAACCCGTATAAGCCTCTGTACATGGGGCCGCCACAGAAAGCTCCCTCCAGTTTTGTTGGTCACCGGCAATTTTTTTGGCAGTCACCCATGACACTCAGCCCTGCCTTTGCCAGCTGCTCCCCAGTTGTGAGTCTCCCTTGGCCTTCCTGGCTTGCTCTTTCCAATACTAGTCATTTGAAAAATAACTTTCATAGAGCGTCCTATTTGTTTCAAGGACGATTTATTTACTTAAACAGCTCGGGGTCCCTGGGATCTCGGTGACCCGTGAACTTTTTCCACATTGGTTACATGGTTGATACGCCACTGCCTACACCTCGCTTAGCCTTACGTACAACTATTCTAGGCCTCTACCTAGGCTCTATTAATAGACACTGGGTTTTCAAAGGTTCATGTAGGTCTATTGCTGTATCACACTTTAGGTCAGAGTTCCTTCCAGGCATCTCTTCGGGGGGGCGAAGCCCCCCCCGAAAATTTTTACCGCCCCCCCGAACGAAATGAAATTTGCATCATTTATATAGAAAATATATACTTTTAACAGTGTCCGCCCCCCCGAAGAAAGTTTACCGCCCCCCCGAAGATTTCAAGTGCCCCCCCGGAGAAAAAAGTCTGGAAGAAACACTGCTTTAGGTAATAAAGATATAAGTGATCGCTAAACAGAGTTTGTTTAATTAAAGAGAACAATGTCTTAAATTTTTAAAATTGTTTCAAAATAGGGTTACATATATTTATTTCCTTCGTGGTTTAAAGAAAACATTTATCGACAGCTGTGTATTTTTGTCTATAAATATATATATTTAGGTCGTAGCTATTATTAGCTAGGGGAAATCCTCTAGATCATAGCGGGTTTTTTTGTTGTTGCTAGATAGCCTGCAAATCATAGAATTTCAACATTCAAATAGATAATACTTACAGGACAGACATTGTAAAGTATCTTATGTTTCAAATGTAAAGAAACTTATCTTTATATTTAGCCGGTAAAGAGTATGAAGAAGTAGGCTACTCTTATTTCAGCTTTGAATTGTCTTAGATTATCATTTTTAATATTAATAATAACAGGCAGCCTATTCACTGATAATTCAGTCATTTTTAAATCCACCAATTATAAGTTTTTACAAATGTAGATCTTAGTATTTTAAATTACGATTTTTTATATAGTCAATAGGATAGTAGTAATAGTATAGGCCTATCATTGTTCATTTTTAAAGCTCCTGTCAAATTTACTGTTCATCGGTATTTTTATTGTATCTCATTCTTCTTATTCAAGATTATCAGAAAGATATAAGAATATAAGCGAAAGTGTTCACTAGCTACTCAAAAAATCCAACGCATCGACAGCCTCTCGTCTTAAAGATATAATTAATTAATTATGTCGACTGGTTCAGTTTTTGGTAGTGCCGAGGCAGTTGGTACAGTCGAACTGGAGTTTCACCGCTTTAAGCCACAGAATCAAACAACAATAAAACACACAGTAAGTCTCAGCTTTTCTTGTCTGTCTAACAATATAGTCCTTCAACGGATTGGTAAATAAATGTTTACATGTTGGCCTATTGACATGTACATCTATGCATGTAGAACTGCTGCATAGTACATCAATGTAGGTTGTGTTTGTAGATTTTTGTATAGGTCTACAGACTAGTAAATCTATGTATGGGTGTAGATCTAGTAGACCTTGGTATACCTAGGTCGACTGACAATATATCTATATTTGTAAATCTACATTTTTTTTTAACCATTAATGTCCCGTAACGCCCGCTGCCGCCCGACACCGTTAATGTCCCGTAACGCCCGCTGCCGCCCGCTTACAATACGCATAGAAAAATTAAATTTGTTTCATTAAAATTTGGCCTACAAATCCTAATTTTTAACTAAACAGGAAGTCTGATAGTTTCAGCATCCTTTTCCGGTCTTCTAATTTCAATGGCGCTTTTGAAAGATACAAAATAATAGTTTCTTTCTATCTCGAAATTTTAGACTCATCTGTCCTTTTTTTAGTAGATTTAATATTAAAAATAAAATAAAATAATGCCTCTAAACGTATCTAGGCATGTATTTTATGAATTATATATCTTAAACATAACCAAATTGATATTTAACTGTTAAATTCGATGCATAGTTGTTTAGACAAAAATAAATAAAGATGACTACCGAAAATGACCTGTTTTGAATTTTCTCCGACATTTTTTATTTTTATACTGTACTTGTACCTAATATAATATATTCTATTTAATACTGTTGGAAAGCCAGGTTTATTCCCAACATTAAGCAGTAGTTTTTATCTTAATTTTCAATTTCATTTAGACAAAAACAAATATTTTGTGAAACTATTAACTTGATCATACAGAGTTATGCTCCTTACATTGGGCCGTCATGGGTGGAGTTTTGGTAGAATGAATGGGACATTAATAGAAGGAAAAAAGAAGTTAGAATATTTCCAAACCTACTCAGCCTTGATCCAAATTAGTTTAACCACTTCACAAAATGTCGTATTTGTTACTTCTCTTTGCGTTTTTTTTTTTGTCTTCACTTTTCGACATTGCAAAACTCGTACTCAAAATTTGAGATACTAAATTTTAGGGTAAGTTTGTCTTGTCTTTCTGAACCACCAGAAAGCTAGATGTAACATAGCTCCATTGAAAACTTGAAGAGAGTTGCAATTCTTTTAATGAATAGGCCCTAACGTTACAATTTTATTTTATTTATAACTAAAAACCAAATTACTAAACA